GGGAGACTCGCTTGGCCCACACGCCGTCCACATTCGCTTCTAACTCCTCTTCCTCTTTCTCTTGACTTCACCGTTGCTGCTCAGCCTGTCTTAGCAGAAGTCATGTCCCCCTTTCACAACCTCTGCTTTGTTCCAGAAAGCAGGCAGACATCTACTGTTAGAATCCTGAGCTGCTATCCTCATCTATGAAAACCTTCCAGCATAGAGCTCTGCACTCCACATTGCCCAATGTGCACCTCTCTCTCTCCTCAGTCGTGGGTCCCTTTGAGGACCCATTGAGTTCATCAACGACAGCTGAGGTAGCGAGATGCTTGGCCACCTCCTTTCCGCCTGTGTCTCCATGAAGCTCAACCCAGATGCTTTGGATTCCACCAATTTAGGGAGCCTTGACTCTGGTTTCCCTCAAAGCTGTTAGCGTTTGAAGGCAGAGAGCAGGGGAGCTGTTCAGCCAACTCTGAATCCTCTTTCCCCTTAATTTGGACCCGTGTTGACAAACCAGCTGATAATTTGGTACTGACCTTACACTTGATTCAGAGAAGCCATGAAATGCTCCCTAGACCAAGAGGGCTCTGAGAGCAACAGCAGAGCAGCCTGGCTTAGTCCTCCTCCCTCAGGCAAATAGTGCAGCAGGAATGTAAACTCCTTTCAGGGGTTTACATCAATTCTTGGAGGCTTAGATAAGACTAGAAACTATTTTTCAGTTTATTTTTGCCAGAATACATATTCATAGCAAGAAAAGGTTGCCAAGACTTTTAAAGTATCTGAATTATTTCATCAGTCTTAAAAACAACCCACTGATTGGTGTTTGGATAGGCTAATGAATTTCAATCTTGGTTCTATCCCAAATTCATAGACAGTCACCACACGGAAGAGAAGGATGCTGGGAACTTCTCCTCCCACCTATGTTGTTGTGTTGTGAGGTTAGAGCCCTGGGACTGGGCTCATTTCAGTGTGGTTCTGGATTCTCAGTTCACTGCCCTTAAAGCAGCCTCGCTATGGCGCTGGGGTTTCTGGTCCTCTGCCCTGAAGGGTGTGCTTACTGCTGGGGACCAACTAGTCTCTTCAAGGTCCCAATCATTTCAGCAAAACAGATTCAAATTCCAACTGTGACCCCTCTAGTGGTGCAGCGCTAACCCGTTTAACTAGCATTTGGGGTAATTAGCATTTGTGAGCCCCAAACTGTAGTACAAGTATCTATCTCCCTTCTGGATGGGTATGGAAGCATCTTATAAGACTGTGGCTGTTCAGTGTTGAGCAAAACCATCATAAATGCTTTTGTGTGTATACAAAGGATGGATGAACACTTGTGCATATTTATTTAGTTATACACACGCACACCTCCAAAACTCCTAATGTCTAAATGGCGTTGGTATGGCCGGACATTGGGCATTTTGAAAACCCATTTACAGTGGATTGTAAAGGCTTGGGTGCCGTGTAATAAGGGGGTGAGGGGGGGGAGCCTCTCGAATCCTTACTGAGCCTCATGTACTATGCTTTGTGCTTGCATTCATTCTTATTTATGTGTACACAACAGCACAATGATGTCATAGTCACCACCTGTAGATTGTAGTAAGAGGGCCGGCTTGTTGGGGTATCTGTCCCGCCCAGTACCCATAGCCAGCAAGTTCCAGAGAAAATCAATCACACAGAGATCTCTATAAGTTATAAACTGATTGGCCCATTAGGTCAGGCTACTTATTAGCTCTTATAATTTATGTTACCCCATTATCCTTATCTACGTTAGCCACAGGGCTCAGTACCTTTCTCAGCTGGGCAGGTTACATCCTGCCTCTTCAGTGGTCTGCACAGGAATGGCTGAGGGAGCTTCCTGCTTTCCAGAATACTCCCAGGCTCTTTGCTCCACCCCTACTTCCTGTCTGGCTTTCCCGCCTATACTGCCTGCCTGGCCAATCAGTGTTTTATTAAAATATGATTGACAAAATGCAGACAATTCTCCCACACCAGTAGATGAACCTGACCCCAGTTACACACTAGTCAGAGGAAAACCTGGACTTTGAGCCTGAATCTGTCAGACAAGCATCTCCTCTGGCCTCCCCACACCTGTACCCAGCTTCTAAGATGCCCGCCTCCCAGATTGCACTCAGCAGTTCAATGTAATGGCATTCATTGATTCTCCAATTCTGACTTAAGTCAAATTTCTGTCTGATTACCAGACTCCTACGACAAAGGATTTAAGCTAATATATCATAGGTGTGTTTACAATTCTGAAATATCTGTTTTTCGAAATCATTAAAAAAAAAAAGAACCTCCTGGTCTCCAACTCCCACCCCTCTCTAATTTTCCCCTGGGTGTGAACAGCCGTGAGGAGTGCCCCAGCTCCTGCTCTCCATTACCGTTTCTACTGGGTGCCAGAGAGCAGTGAAGTGAAATGGCCACCCAGTGAGCAGAGAAGCAGGGCCCGTATTGTCCTCGGAATGGATTATGGCCCCATAAACAGCACAACACAACACGCTGGCATTGGCAGAGGCTGCAGTGGGACTGGCATGGCCTCCAAACCAGGCACGGGCCCCTCTGTGGCAGAGGAGGAAGTCCCTGCTTCCCAAGTGGCCATTCCAGGAAGGAGTCAGATGACTTGAGTTATAGAAACCAAATGGCCCTCCTTTGTTTAAAGAGAGAAGGGAAAAAGCCACTCATTTTTGTGGTAAAGTGAAAACAGGCTCCAAACCAAACAGTCCCTCTCGGGGCAGAAAATGCCAGCTCCACAGAGCTAGCCCACAGCCTCCCAGCCTGGGTTCAACCTCAGGGACATCAGAGCTGAACCCCAAGCAGCCACAGCCCTCCATCCTCCCGTCTGCTTTGCCCCAGAAATATTTGGTCTCCCAAGCAGGAAAGGAAGATGAAAAGAGGAGGAGAATTAGAAATGTCCTGCTGCCGAGGCCACAGTCTGCCTCCCGGCCCTCGTGACCTAGGACAGGGAGACAAGACAGGAGCTCACAGGACCAGTGCATGTGGCCCTCGCGGGGCCCTAACTGTTTCACTGCTGTGGCCTCCTCAGAAGCCCTCCAGCTTTAACCACGGCATGCAGCCTAAAGTCACAAGGCCTCTAGGGCCACCCTGTGGCTGCCCGTGGCTCTGTGGGTGGGGCTGCACCCCAGGTACTGTGTGCAAACCACAGCCACGAGGAAATAAGTACAGGTTCCAGTCAGCCATGCCGGACAGTTTGGCTTATCCCCTCATACAGACTTCCCTGGGGCCGGAAGTCTCTCCGTGAGGACAGGATGCTGCAGAGTTTGGGTCTGAACCTGACTTTGCGTCTATTGCTGTGCAGCCAAGATGGCCCTGTCTTTCTGAACCTCCATTTTTGCATCTGAAAAATGGTCCTGGGATGGGGAAGTGGCTCCGTGAGTAAGGTGTTCTGCGGAAGCATGAGGACCTAAGTTTGAATCCCTTAGCATCCACGTATGAAATAGAAATCAATAGCCGGGTACAGCAACGTCAGCCTGTCACCAGTCCCAACTCCGGGGAGGTAGAGCCAGGAGGATAACCAGGGTTTGCTGGGCAGCCGTTTTTACTGAATCAGGAAGACCCAGAATCACTGAGAAAATCCATCTCAAAAATAAGATGGAGAACCATAGAGGAAGACAGCACACACACTCGAGGTGAGGGAGAAAGCCTAAGGTCCATTCCTGCCTTAGCTCCCAAGGCTGTCACGAGCAGAGTGCTATCAAGGTGGCCAGCGGCTTGTTGGCTAGGCCTCCAGACCCTGCAGCCTTCTGGCCGCGTGCCATCCAAGAAGGAATCAGTGGTTCAGTTAGCTGGGCTAGTCAGTGAACTCCAGAGATCTGCCCGTCTCTGCCTCCCCAGTGCTGGGATCTCAAGCAGCCGCCACCCTACCTGGCTTTTATATGGATGCTCAGGATCTGAACTTGGAATCCCTTGCTTGCACACAAGACCTTTAACAGCTAGCTGTCTCTGCAAAGGCTGTACTGTGTACTAAAGACGAGTGTGCTGAATAACTTTCTCCTAAAATCCCTACGATGCACACTGACCTTCAGCCCTAGGGGCTCATGCCAGGCCCCACCCCTTCCCAGTTCCCTAGGAAAATCCAACTCCGATTTGGATTTTCCTGAAACCTGACCACAGGATCTAGAAAGGAAGCTGCAGGCCTTTTAAAACCCAGGGATACTTGGGTGTATCTGCTTGTGTTTGCCAGCTCTATGGAGATCTTCTCCATGAAGATGGCCTCAAAGTGGACATAGATGTGACTTTCCTTAGACTGCCTCAGCTCTCCCTAAGAGAACAGGAAACTCAAACTATGCTGTAAAAGGGCTAGCTCTACAGACGTGGGACCAGGAGACCAGCATCAGGAAGGAGGCCTTGATTAGTTCTTGTATAGTGGATGCTACCACACATGTTGGGGTGCTACTCTGTTTGGTGGTGGGGGTCTAGTACGTATTTCAGCTTTGCGCTGCTCTGACAAATACCCAAGGAAAACAAGGAAAGCAATCAGTTAGAGGTTTCACTCCATCGAGTCGGAAGGGGGCGAAGGAAAAAAGTACCTTGTCTCCTAGCAGCCAGGGATGGGACTAGGGTACAGAGAGAAAGAGACAAAGTGTGTGTGTGTGTGTGTGTGTGTGTGTGTGTGTGTCTGTGTGTCTGTGTGTATATAGAGAAAGACAGACAGACAGCGACAAAGACAGAGAGATTGAGAGACAGAGAGACAAAAAGAGAGACATAGACAGAGACAGAGAGTCCACTACCAGGAAGAGGAGAGAGCTACCAGCAGGGTTAGAACAATATCTAGCCTTAGACACAGCCCCTCAGTGCCTGCTTCCCCAGCTAGGCCCCGCCCCACCAGCGCGGTACTTGGTTTCAACAGTAAGCCCTCAGGGGACATTTCATGTTACAACCATAACTCAGTGCAAGCGGAGTTTTTATTTCACACACTTCTCTGTTTTCATCAGATCCCTCTGGGCTTGGTTAATGACCTCCAAAGAGACTGAACTGGGAGACATAACCTTGCGACTTCCTTTTTGCAGACGAGAAGCCGTTTGCTGTGGAAGACACGTACCTGCTGTGTCCCGCACCCATCTTAAAAGAAGTCGGCATGTAAGTTGTCATCACCCACAGAGGTCCGCAGCCAGGGAAGAGGAGGCAGCAGGACCAGAGGGGCAGCGATAGCTTTTGTCGTTGTCATCATGGACTCTTCCTCCGGGTTCTGTCAGTGGCATTGGTGCCAAAGCTATGGCCAGCCAGCCACCAGGAGGGCGACCGAGCATCTCTCTCATCCTCTGTAGTTCACAGCAAGTAAGACGCTGTCCTTCAGGCCAGCGAGAAGGGTTTGAATAACTTGTCCAGGGTCACACAGAAGCCAGTGGAAGAGTTTGGGCTCAAGCCTGGGTCTGCTGACTCAATCCCAACCACATTTCTAGAAAGTTCTCACATGTATTACGTCACCCTGTCATCATCTGTGCCCTAGAAAGTGGCTGTTATCTGTTGCTTCGAGACAAAGAAACTCAGAAAGTCAAAGTAAGTGCCTTGGTCGGTTCATGACCTTCGGCACCACTCTCGATCCTCCACAGAGCTTCAGATGCTCCCCTCCATTCCCTGGCCTCACATACAGGGAACACCTCATGGTACCATTAAGATAAGATGTCTATAAAGAGGGTCAGCACCCTGAACTGGGGTAGGACTCCGGGGCCCAGGGCCCAGACAATCACAGAGCAGAAAGAGCCTCTCCAGACCATGCCCAGCAGTCTGGAAATGGTGTCCAAGGAAAGCATTGGAGTTTCCTTTCATCATTTGTCCCAACTCCGACTGAGTGTCCGCAGTCAGCCTGTGACACTAGGCCTGCTACTCAGCCCGAAATCATATAGCATGGTGTGAGTTCTTATCTCGGTGAGACTTTATGCACAGAAACCTGGAGAAGACAAACCGATCTGTCCACAAGCTGTATTTCCACAAGCCTTATAGGGACCCACAAAACTTCCCCATTAGACCACTGAATCCTCATTAACAAGAGCTGAGCATGCAGCCCACAGTTTGTCCAATTATCCCTACTGACTTGGATGGCTCTTAAGGTGCTTTATCTAATGGGATGTGGTAGAGCAGAACTTTAATCCCCACATTCAGGAGACAGAGGCAAGTGGATCCTAACTTCAAGGTTAGCCTGGTCTCCAGGACTGTATCCCAGGACAGCCAGGGCTTCACAGAGAAACTTTGTCTCAAAGAAAGAAAGGGAGGGAGGGCAGGAGGGAGGGAGGGAGGGAGGGTGGGAGGGAGGAAAGAAGAAAGCTTCATTTTATTTTATCTTATCACGAAGTATAGCAAACAGGTCAAATGAGACAGGCTTTCCTTGCCCATTGCAGTTCACTGCAATGCAAAGTTGACATCCTGCCTTGACACGCCAGCTGAATGCATCCCAGCATTTCTTGGATGTCCCAGGTGTGTGGTCCTGAGAGACTGTCCTCTGCGTGCTACGAGGAAGAATCTCAGGCCCCACGGGGAAGTAAGCATTCTGTCTGGCTTTCGAGCTGTTGCTCGCAGCACCCCATGCTAAGCGCATCCGGGCCTCTTGTCGTTGCAGGAAAGCTGCCCTGCAGGTGAGCATGAACGATGGCCTGTCCTTCATCTCCAGTTCCGTCATCATCACCACCACACACTGTGTAAGTCACACCCTCCCACCCCATCGCCGTTATCATTTTCAACTGCTCTTCCCAAGGCCCTGCCTTCTCCAGCATCAAACATGAAATGCTGTCTGATTCTTTGTTCTGTCTGCCACCCTGATGCATCTGGGTCGGGTGTTGTTTACTGCGATGTCTGGGTCAGGCCTCAGGTTTCTGTCCCTGGTACTGAGGGGGATCCCTGGTTGTCCCAGCCTGCATAGGAGATTCGCTACTGTGCAGGCTGTAGTGAGGGTGGGCCCCTGCGTCAGGTACCCTTACGACTGGGGAAACAGAAAGGAATTGGACAACATATAAAATATATCTTAAAGAGTCTGGGTGTTTTATTGTGTTCTGTTTTAAGAAGCAGGAAATGGGCACCAGCTAAAGAAAGTCATAGAATTTATAGAGGAGCTGTTGTTTAAGGACAGGAACAATGGAATCTTGTTCCTGTGGCTGTGGAAATAATCTAGGGAGAAAGAAAACTGGTGAAGCCGGAGAGTGAGAAGGAAGGGGCCTTGCCTTAGGGACACAAAGTATTCTCTGCTGGCTCCTACAACATGGATCCTGTCAGGCAGTTCTTACTTCTGACCACCCCTAAAGTCAACTGAGGAGCTGGTTTCTTTCTTTAAATATGATGTCCAATAACTCGAAACTATATGTTTAAAAGAGAGGGAGTGTGTGAGACACCTTCACCTCACAGTGCACTAGAACATGAACCCTGGTGTTGGCGATCCCAAGGCCTTCTGAGGAGGTAATGCGGGCAAGTGGGGGGGAACAACCTGGGTCTATGAAGTTCTTTCTTAGCAGAGTCACTGTCTCCAAGTTCAGCCTGCCTGGGCAGTTGGGGCTCAGTTCACTCATCTGAAGAACCCGTCCCCTGATGGGAATGTTTGCATTACCGTTAGTTGAAATTTTCTTTCTTTAGCTAAGTGCATGCCTTCAGTTAGATCTTACTAGCAATGAAGGAAGGCAATGAGTATGTTTGCAAAGCTCCTCCCTGGTCAGCCATTTTAAAATGTGTTGCTAGAACTCTTTGGTAATTGGTGTTGTGCCCTCCATAGTGTCACGGGTAGATAAGAGATAGCAGTTGAACACTAAAGCCAAATAAGGCAAATATGATTTACCTTCTAAATGCCGAGTTTCATAATGGTTATGACTGTTCTTGCTAATTCCTGCTTAGAAGTATTCTCCACCACCCTGCGGAGCTAATAATTATTTATTATGTCTGACCACACTACAGACAAATAGTTATGCCTCTCAGACCTCAAGGACAGCGGCGTTAGAAAGCAAACAACTTAGGACTGACTTAGCTTGTGGTATGAAAACACAAGACTATTAATTTAAATTTGAGTTTCTGAAGAAGAAAGGGTGGCCTTACCAATGTTTTGCAAAGTTTAAATAATTCCCAGGAAATGTCCACTGTATCTTCTCAACTCACTCTAACCCCCATCTTACCTCAGATTGCCTTTCTCTGATTACGTCACCAAGTTTCCAGTTCAATGGACTCTTGGTTAAAATCGCTTTCCAATATATTCTGCATTGTTTCCTTTTCACTTGAGATTATTCTGTTAGTCTATGAGAAAATTATCACCACCCTAATATTAGATATGCAAGTCCATTCTTTCATCTACTTAATAAACAGTAATTGATCGTAAGATGAAGCCTCCTAGGAACGTAGGGTGCATCAGTAGACAGAGGGTGGGGAATACACAATGAACAGTAAAGAGAAGAAATGTTTCCATGCTATTTTAAAATATAATATACGTGACAGAGAAAAACTAAATAAGAGAGTTTGGCACTGCCTCGGTGGGTGGGTTCCAGTGCAAACCCTGAAGGGGACACACTGAGAAGGTGGCATTTGAGCAGAGCCCTAGATAGCGAGGAAGTTAACTGTGAAGCCACAGGCGGGTTGAAGAGGGTAGAAGTTTCCAAACCAAGAGCCCTAATGTTAAGACCCTGAGGCCAGAGACCTCTGGTGTCTGAAGCAAAGTGAGGATGCTAGCAGTACATCTTGGCAAGGGTCCCGGTCAGGGAGGTGACCAGGGACAGAGGATGTGAGGCCTTGTGAGAACTTGGGCTTTGCAAGAGGGGAGCTGCAATCTGCCTTGCATGTGAAAGCTCACTCTGTGGAGCTAGCCAGTGAGCAGCCTGGGAAAGGTGGGAGCTGCATGGCTGTTGAGAGAGTTCCGTTTTGATTCAGTGGCATGGGGGGAAGCTAAGGCGTCAAATATGAAACTTGAGAAAGGAAGGACCAGAAAGGAAGCCAGACCTTGTATCTAAAAGGATGGCATGACCGCTGGCAGGCAGGAGGAAAGCTGAGGAGGAGACCTGGGGGTGAGGGGAAATTGGGACATCCAGTTTTGCTGGTTATTCATTGTGTAGCCTGGACTAGGTTATTTATCCGTCCTGTGCTTCTGTTTCATAACCAAGAAAAAGACGATGGTAAGAGTATACATGCTGACACAACTATAGTGTTATGTAAGTGGTCTCTGTAACGAGCGGAAGACCTGGAGTTAGTCAACACTCAGCGTTTTATCATGGAAGCTTAAACAAGCTAGCTGGGTGTGGTGCTGCATGCCCGTAACCCCAGCTCTCTGGAGACTTAGGCAGAAGGATCCTGAGTTCAGAGTCACCCCAAGCCACTCATACAGTTTGAACTAACGGATTCTCTCTAGAGAATTGAGTCCCCTGTCCTGGGTCACATGGTAACAGAAGGACTCGGGACTCTTTGGAGAAAAGACATGTCCGTAGTGTGCACGCTTGTCACTCAGCCACACCTAAGTGATGGGAAGGAGACAAACAAGATGGCAAAAACCTCCCAGTCCAAAGATGGAGCTCCAGTCCCACCAGGCCCCAGTAGAAGCTCAGGTTAAACACTAAAATTGCCCAAGGCAAAGCAGAGGTTCAGTGGAAGGCGGAAGGCATGCATCCAGGAGTGAGAAGTCTCAGGCTAGTGTTTGTCTGGATGACTTGGTTTTCAGATCAGAATGATCCCTGGGGCCTGGATAAAGGATTAGCCCTGCCCATGCCCGTCACAGCCTGCCCAGCCCGTCACCTGGAAGCAAAACTTAATTTAAAATATGAAGCTAAGATTTCTCGCTTTACTTGGTGCCCGTTTGGATAAGTGCGCTCCGAACATTTCAAGAGCCACTGTGAATAACTGGTGCCCTGGCTAGAAGCAGGAATTCCATGCGGTTTTACAGGACAGGTTTTTTTTTTTTTTTCCACTTAGCGCTAAAAGATTCTACACTCAGGGTAAACTTGGCAGAGTTGCCTGGCTATAGAAAGTGCCAGCATTTGGTCCCTTTTCCCCAATATTTCTCAGACACCTCAGTTGGGTTGTCTAGCTAGACCCCTTTCCTCCCCAAACTAAGGCTGAGAAAAAAAATCACTGATTTAGTACAGCACAAAACAAGTTTTAGGACCTTACGGAACTTTCCTTGAAAATTATCTTCTTTTAAATAAATATTTTATAAGTCTATCATCATGTTTTACCCAAAGAGGACAGAATTCAGAACGTTGTTCAACCAGCATTTCTTAGGCAGTTTCTGGGTGTCTGGTATCCCGTGAATAATCTGCAAAGTTGCTGTTGGACGAAGGAGCCCACCAGCTTGTGTGTAATAAAGAATGGTGGTGGGGGCGAAAGACAACTCAGTCAATCAATGCTTCACTTTGATCCCTACAACCCACTTTTAAAAAAAAAAAGCTGGGCATGATAATGCACATTTATAATCCCAGCTTGGGGAGGTAGGAGACAGGCAGACACTCAGGATAACTCACCAGCCAGCCTGGCTTCCTTTTGCAAATTCCAGGTCAATGAGAAGCACTTTCAAACAGAATGAAGTGGACAGTTCCTGAGAAATGTCACCAGAGGGGGTCCTCTGGACTCTGTACATACCCACACATGTGTGTACACACAGAGAGAACAGGGTTGCGTGATTCAGGTGTAAATGCTGTAGGATTTCTTAAAGGACAAAGGAAGGGGGGCAAATGGAGTCAGGAAATGTCTGCGGAGGTAATGCCATAATGGTGATCTTAAGATTGATAATCACATGTGAATGCATAGACAGAGGCTCCGTGCTGGGGAAGGCAACCTTTGCAAGGGCTGGGGGCCCTGGCAGACCTGTGACTTGTCTTTTGTCCCCTCTGCTTCTGTTTCTATGCCTGCTGCCTCTTGATTGGGGCCATTTCTCAACTTTACAACAGCTCCTTTCCCAGGACACATACCCACCCTTCTTGGTCTTATCGCCTAGTAGGCCACCCAAGGCCAGACTCACTGCTGGATCTCTGTGAGGGTTTCTTTACCTTTCTTACCGTGGTTGTAAAGATCACCATTTTCAAAGAAAGGTAGGAAACGTAAAATTATACCTAAGGCGCTAAGTCTAATTAACCACTGTGGAAATAAAGACTCTTCCATTTTCTCCCTAGTTTATATGAAAAGGAGCTTGGCTGTAAACAATGATTAATAATTCAAGAAAACCCATGTGGTGTCACTGGTCAGATAATTTGTTTTTAACAAAGATAAGATTTCAGTGATCTCCAGCTTGAGACATCAAAAATCCCTGAGCGTTGCGGGTATGACATGATGTGTTGTGGCTACACAATAATGGGGGGCTTCATTCAAGCTGTTGAGTCAGAAGCCCCTGCTTCGAGTCGGCACACTCGGTAATGCACACTGTCATCCCAGCTCAGGTGAGACTGAGGCAGGAGAGTCGGGAGTTCAAGGTCATCCTCAGCTACATAGTGAGTTTGCAGGCCGGCTGTTCCAAACTATGTGTTTAAAACAAAACAAACAAAAAGCCCAGCACAACCACACTGGGGAGTGATGGCATCAGGTCATCTAGCTGTTCTTAGACCCCACATTGCATGGCTGTAATTGGGATAATGGTAACGTGTTCTAGGAGCTGGAAGCCTCCAACGTCTATTGAAGAATGGTGGCTTTGTTAGTTCATTGGCTCATATCCCTCCCCTCTTACAGGATCTTCTGCACATGCCCCATG